ATACCTCACAAGTGGTGTGGAAAATGCAAGAACAAATATAAATGGAATAATTTTCGAAATTATGAAATGGTTATTGGTACTTCCCATCTCAAAGGGGATGATTAATTTGAACGTTATTTAAGCTGCCTTTATGTAAGCGTTTTGGCTAGTCGATATCTTAAGTAAAGTTTCCAGTCGACAGAAATCGACCCGTGAAAAGGCAATTTCAGGAATTTTTTAATTTTCTTTTTTTTTTTGCTTGGGCGTCTTTTAAAGATGTGCCAAATTATATTGTCGCCTTAAATACAAAACAACAATTTCTTTAAGCCATCTTGTGCAGCAAATTGTTGATCTTATCCTCACGGCTACCGAAATCACCAACCTCAACGTAGTGATTAGCCTTCTTGCGCCAGCCTCGCGTTGATGTGTTGAGCTTGAATAGCAACAGGAAGTTGGGGGCTTTCTTGAAGTGAAGTGAATCAACGCACTGAATTTCGTGCGCTTCGCGAAATTTGCGTTCGATCACAAAGCAGAGATTGGGACACGCTTGACCATTCCACGTTTGTACATCAATTCACGAACTGATTTAAGATTTGGATAACCCCATATAGGGTTCGGCATACGTAGCATATTAATGGTTGCCTTGCTCAATTTGTTGAACACACCGTTTTAATGTGGCGGAGACAGAACTGTAAAACTACGCACTTTTTGTGCAACTTTGTTGATACCGCGGATGCGGATCACAAAAGCCAATTTGGATTTTTTAGGCCCGTCGAATTGGCCGCATTTCTTTGCCACACAGCGCTCCTCCATCTCACGGCGTCCATCACGGAGTTTTCTTGTTTGATATTTCTCAGCATGCACCAAGTTTTCACGTTTACGGAGTGCAATCACAGCAGAGCGCTTTAGTTTACATTTGATCAGGGTAGCAATTTGCTGACCTGCTCTTGCTGAACTGCAGCTTCGACTCGGGGACAGGAGGCAGCTTCCTGGAAGGTTGTCTGCCCTTTGCTTGCGGTTTCTTACCGGCCGTGATGGCAGTCCTCTTAACTTGTTACTTAGCACGTTGAAAAGGCGAAAAAAAGTTCGCCAAATGTTTGGAGCACATCGTAAATGAGCCACTCGATTTATAACATTTCTATAAACAATTTAATTAAATACTTTTTATACATAGATATGCTGCAACCATGCACTTACTTTCCCAAATTCCATTCTGCTTATCGGCATAATTTTCCAAATATGCCTGCTACTTCATTACTAATTACTCAATTTTCCAACTGCGCCTTCTTTGTTGGCTCGACATACCCTAAAAAGACATAAATTTACATTAAACAATAGAAATCGCAAAAATTAGCAAATAAAATACTCGCTTTGTTTTGTTTTGTTGTCAAATTTCTGAGAAATGTGAATTCACCACGATGCGATACAGAAAGAACAAGGACCAGGGATGTAATTTTAAGTAAACGTATTATTCAGGGGCAAGGCGCAGAGCGTTCGGGGCAGCAATATTAATTTGTATCAAATATAACATTAAACGGTGGTTCTAATACATTTTTTGATATTATTAACGAGAGTACATACATTATATGGTATTTCTTTCAAAAATTAATGTACTATATGAATCTTTTTTTTCAAATATTTCTTAAGTTTCTTTCATGAGTGCTGAAAAGCAACCATGCGTGTAAGAAATTGTGTGCTACCTAAAATTTCATCTCTGGAAACTTTATCCCCATAAAGGACTTCACCACAGTTTTTTTACTGGATATACTGAGGGTGCATGCCACTGCGTATGAGCGACACTTAAATGCTTACAGGCAATTGAATGTGGCGCATGTTTGCACTAAGTAAATGCCGACAAACACACAACATAATACATATTAATTTGTGTTAAACTACATTTTATAAACCAAACTATGTGGCACACAAGTGCTAGAGACATCTGTTGTGTCATGCAATATTTTGTGCAATGCCAGCAACAAAAACAACAGTCAACAGCTGATGTAGCATCTAAAATGCTCCACAAAATTTATATCATTATTATGCGACAATGTTGCATTGGTGTATTGCGGCTATGCGGGCAAAGGATGCAAGCCATCACGCGGCGCCTTAATGTTTCTACGTTTTTTCACTCGTGAATGGACAACAAAAACAAAGTGATACCGAGTGACACATTGCAACGAAACACACACACTCGCATAACCACTTGTGGGAACCATTTCTACGCCGTTATGTTGACAATCCGTTCTACATTTACTACTTCGGTATGTCCTTGTGTATTGCCTTGGTCATCAAATTATGGTCTGCTGCAACTTTCGCTCGACTCTAACATTCAATGAGCACATTGTATTACCACTTTCATTTTACATAGGTTGGTCATTTTGCTATTGCCCTTGCCGCTATGCATATTGTGTTTGCGTGTGTGTTTGCAGGTTCTTCATCCTTATCGTTTAGTTCAGTAGGCACCATCATCACCGCTGCGGCCACTTGGGCCGGCAAATTTATCTTCATCTCATGCGGCTTTGCACGCTTTTGCCGTTCATTATTCGCCATACAAACTTGTGGTTGTTGTTATTTTTAGTCATGACCACACAAACTTACTCAAATGCAACGCTAACTACCAACAACTCTGCAATTTCATACTTTCAAGAGTCAACTCAACTCAACTCGACTTCTAAGGCCACCGCATTTGATGTCAACGCCGTCGCTGAAGCTGTCCATATTTCGGCCTCCCTATAGAACTTTTCGTTTGCACTTTCATCTCCAGCCTGCAAATGTACATACATACACACATACAAACACTCTTACTGATATACAGTTAAATTGTCGCAACCACGGTTGCCACACACTTGGAGAAAATGTTACCAAAAATTTGAAAAAGATTACCATAAGTATTGAAAGCATTTTTTCTTTTGACATAAACAATGGGCGTTACTTACACCTTCGAGATTGTATTAAAGTTGCCTAGAAGTTTACATAGGTATATACTTACATGATTTCTGCACATGCCAAATCGATTAAATACACTTTTTGAAAAATCTTAAACTTAGGTGTCAAAGTTTATAATAACTTGATGTTGAATTTATAATATAAAGGGTATTTAAAAAATATAATGTACATTATTTGATGGCATCTCTCACGTTTGTTAATGGAGTCAATTGATTTGTCATGCACGTGTGAGTAACAACCTTTCATTCCCATATTTCATACAAAAAATATAAACAGTGCGCATTCTCATTTGATCATTCATAACTGTTTTATTTATCTTTGTTAGTAGCTAGTTTTTTTTTTTTTTCTGACCTTAGCTCCTTATGGCACATATCTTTGTACATATCGCCTATAACTCACAATTTCGTATGTATCCTCAAAAACAAATTCATTCCGTAAGAAATTTGCTACGTGTATGTAACTTTGCCGCATATATTGTAAAATATTTTAGGGTTTTTAGGCATTTAGTCTAAAAGATACCAAATGAGATCGGAAGTTACCAAATTACCAAAGGGAATAAAAGCTACCAATTTTTGTAACATTTTACCCAAGTGGCAACCGTGGTCGCAACGCCACTAAACTTCAGTGCAATTCAAGCTAACACAGTGCGCTTCAATTCCGTTTAGATCAGTTCAGTGCGGTCCGATGGCTAAACGACACGAAAAGACAAAAATAACAACAAACAGGACATTGAAAGCAGTGACGGCGGTTCATCGAGTTCTTTTCATTGCGTCCGAAACTGCAGTGCAAAGCTCACTTGACTGCTACCCTTCGCCTTTCCTCCAACCGACCTTTATGCCTGGCATTCAGCCTGGATTGTTCGACTGCTCGTACGGCTGCAGTGCATTCATAATTCTGCTTGAATTTATGTACACTAAACTGTTATTTACGATGCGCTTCTAGCATTTTTGGTCAATCGCAAGTGGATGCACTCGTACGAACATATGTACATATGTATATTCTCCATAGATGCCTCTACCAACACTTGTATTTAAGGATGTGGATATGTAGGCATACATAAATATGTGCATGTGTTTTCTCACCGAGATGAAGTAATCAAATTGAATGAATGCTGCAAAATTCTTTATAAATAAACTGCATTGCATCGTTCGCATTTTCTATTTCTCAAGAATTTTATCATCGTGACTCAGCTCTTTCTTTTATGCCTTCAACTTGCAGTACTCTTTATGTCATCGAATTTTCGTGAGGGCACAATTATTGCCTAATAAGGTTTTCTTTTGGAGCACGATGAATATGCCGCATGAGTGCCATAAGTTTCTTTAAGGGTAAAATTTCAGCACACAATTGAATTTTCTAGTTTATTTGATAAAATTTAAAAGGTCGGTCAGCAAAATGAGAATTAAATCATACGCTTCAATTTACTTATGTGCTTTCATAGGAGAAATTGTGGATAATAACACTGCACGACCTTTTTCTGGGTAATTGATGAAACCAAGTTTTTCTGAAAGCATGAATAGTACATATGTCCCAAAACGCGGACTGTTACATTACATTTTGGCTCACACTGATTTTTAAATACCGCTGAAACTCGCGAGAATACAATTTTCGGATAATTTTTCTTTTTGCATCTGAAAGCATAAGTATGTGGCATTATTTAATACATACAAACATATATTGTAACTCCTGTGGTTTAGGAGTTATGAATTTTTCAACAGTGGACTGTTGCATTACAATTTTTGGAAGTACTTTTTAAAGTTGCTTTATATTATTGAAAAAGTCTGCTCTCCTAATATAATGTTTTCAAAAGTTGGTACACAGTTTCCTAGCTTCAGGATGGAATTCAAGAACTACGTATTAATTGAACTGATAAAATTAATTTTGAGGCCAATATTTGTAAAAAATAGTCGGACTGGTACGTTACAGAAAAAGACTGTTACGTTACCTGTGCGATATACGTGTAGCGATAGGATTATAATTAGGTATTTAAATCGCTTTTAGTGTGTTTTATGCAATAAGTAGCATGAATTCAGTAGTCTTACGATGTGAAAAGTAATTCAAAGAAATTAAGAACATGATAATTATGAATACAGATTGCAAAGTTTCTGATGCTGTGCAGCCGTAGGTCGTTTCCGAAGTAATTTTCTGCGTAGAACTCGAACTCGATCTTAGAATTGCGCCAAGTTGTTGAGTTTTTCGCGTTTAATTTCACGAAAAACGGCTTTAATGGCTTATTTTGTTTGCTCTATGCTATTTAGTACTATTCTTACCCTTCAAATGTTAGATTCGAGGACTCGGCATTTTGTTAAATAATAGCAGTACTAGAAAAATAGCCGAAATAATTCCAATACATTTTTTATTATTTAATCGGAAAATCTTCTTCTTTCCGCTTCTTATTTCACTTCTCTTGACTTCATTCCGTTTGAAATAATATAATTCTCGCGTTTTTTATTTTTCTACGTAATTCTTATCTTCTCAGTTTATATAAGTTAGAAAAAATAACAGTTTTAACTATGGGACAATAACACGTTGAATAGCTTCCAATGTTGCTTGTAAAATGAGCCCTATCTTTAACCAATAACCACGCCTACCTCCCATATAATGGTAATTTCCAGAAATACGAAAACTGCGATATTTTAGTTACTACTGAAGATTATTTACTCAAAATTGATATTTACAATGATTTTTAGACGGAAAAATAAGAATATTATAAATTTTTGGGAAAATGGGCGTAGCCACTCCCACTTATGATTACATGTGTATATTTCGGTAACCGCTCCACCAATTTCTCTCAAACTTGGCACAGTTGTTTTCTGTTGTCTTAGCAGAACACTTCAAACGGCTGAAAAGGTTTAAAGTCGGGCAATAACCACGCCCACATCCCATATAACGGTAATTTAGAGAAATACGAAATCTTCGATAAATCAGTAAATACTGAAGCTAATTTATTTAAATTGGATGTTTGCAATATTTCTTTAGCAAAAAATACGTTTATAGTACAATTTTGGAAAACGCACGTGGCACCACCCACTTATGACCACATATGTGTATCTCGGTAGCCGTTCGATCAGTTTGTACCAAACTCGGTGTGAGTATTCTGCTTGCCACATAAAAGAAAAACATTGAAAATTATTGAAATCGGTCTAAAATTACGCCTAATTTTCATATAACGGTAAACAAGTTGGTAGTAGGCTAGGAATGAATGATATTGAGTATGAGAAAAATCTAACAACAATCACGAATACACGAAAACTGAGATATTTCAGTAATTACTGAAGCCAACTCACTCAAAATTCCTCTTAGCCTAATATAAAACGGTAAGAAATACATATATGCTGCAACTTCTCACTTTGCTGAAAACTT